CAAAATGTCGTCATCGCCATTGTATAGCGGCGTCCGCCTTCTCCCATATCTGTTTCCGCCTTATACATATACTACGCTTAATGGATAATCGATGTATCATCGTTGGAAATAGGTTTGAGGAGTCACCTTTACTTACAATACGTTTCAATACCGATATTGATGATGTTTAATATTGATATCATATGATACAAATGACTAAACATATATCAAATCCCTGTCAAGCATATTTTTGTACCCATCAACCTACATTCATCATCATCATCATCATCAATTCACTTATACGTCCCTCTGCTGGACACGGGTCTCTTCTTAGGCAAGAGTAAACTCTTCTGACTAAAGGCCATAGTCCTCCAAGCTGACCCAATGCGGGTTGGGAATTTCACACGTTTCCGAAGGTTGTGAACCTTCTTCGACACGCAGGTTTCATCACTGTGTTTTCTTTTACCGAAAAGCTCATGGTAAATTTTTATTTTATATACACATTTTATATTTTATTTCAAATTAAATTTCCTACATAAGCTCCGAGAAAGTCAGAGGTGCGAGCCCTGATTCGAACCCATGATTAGACTGCCACGGCTTCATTAATGTGAGCATTACTGCGTTCCGGTTTTGAAGCGTTTTTGAAATTACAGGCACATGGGACTTGTCAACTTATGTCTCTAGGTGATGTACGCAAGGGCAGTACCTCTCAGACCTTTGTGATTTAAAGCTCTGAGTGGCACTGCAACTGTTAATTAAATAACATTTTTGGTAATCAGTCATTCTCCGTAAGGCGTGCAAGGTAGTAGTTGTAGGTTCAAATATTTCGAAAACAATGCAACATTCTTCCTAAGTACAGTTGGGCTAGACAATAAATTGTAAGATAAAATCATATTGTGTAAACGCCAAAAGGTCGAGTTGTACTGAAAAGTCAAACGCCAAAAGGTCGTGCTCTAAACTGAATAGTACTTGGAACATTTTAATGTAGCACCTGACTAAAATTTCACATAAACACAATGATCTATCATTGATTGAATTGATCTAAATATATATATAACTGTTTTGTTTTGATCTATCTATATATATTGATAGATCAAATCGTTTAGGTATTTACTGTTAAATAACGGATATTGTTTAAAGGATATGCTAATTTGTTACACGACACGATGTGCTTTATCCGATCATATAAAATCCTCAATACAAGCCAAAATAAAAGTCTAAAACGGCTTATTTAAGAATAATATAAATATAATAGCTAACTTTGTACATAATTTTAATATGGAGATATTTCTCTTAAAATAGTGCAGATTCAGTGGTTTACTGACACACCGCGAAGCCCACTGCCCCGTTAGTCGCCATCGGGAGCTTGTCGACTTTGGATCTCTATCAAATTTTCTCCGCCTGTTCTTATTTTATTCGTATTAATTAGCGCGCGAAATAAGAAATAATAAGCGCGCGAATTGCGGGACCTGCGAAGCGAACCCCCCCCCCCCCACGCCTCTTCTCCTAAAATCTAGGCTCGCATTGAAATACTTCGCCTTAACTCATAAGTTCATAACACGCCGTTCGTTCATTTCTTTAGCCTCCAAATTAGTCTATTGTTATTTCAATTTTATAAAGCTTGGTGATCTCGCGATATGAAAAAGTCAAATTTCTCCTAAGTTGATATTCGTATGGTACGTCGTCGTCACGCGATTCGTTTATTATCCCACGGTCTCTGCGAGCGCATTTTGTTAGAGATCGTGACTACTTTGCACATATCCGACATTTAGTTAGGACATAATGTACGTAATGAATAGTAAAAAGTTTCTCAATTGCTTTGTCTATTCTTTATTGCACCAAATAAATACAACAGAAATATTAGTTTAACAGGAGGTGAGCAAAGGACTTATCTCTAAAAAAGATCTCTTCCAGCTAACCCTCACTAAGGTTTCAAGCGGGCAACAGCGGCGTGCAAGAAAGATTTAGAGATAATTTATAATAAACTACACTAATAAACAAAACATTACCGTTACTTACATAAATATTAGCATCACTTAACTTACACATAAATAATATACATATAAGTACACACACATAAATATATAATATGTAAAAAAACAATAAGATGTTTATAAAGGGAGTTCAGCAGTTCTTTCATAAATTTTCTTTAAAAAGCTTTTGCAAAGGGATTGTTATTCTTTATATTTTCGGTAATACTTTACTATTCACTTGTATCCTAGAAACTACTCTCTATGAAGAAGGTCAACATCAACATCAACATGATGAAGAAACTTTTATGAGTTCTCACAGGAGCGTCGGCAAATAAGTCGTTTAAATTCAATACAGTGATCCATCAAGAAAATAATAAGATCTTCTGGCTCGATCCGTAGTCAAGTTGGTAATAGCGGTAGCCACGATGAGGTAACAGAAACTGGTACGAGGCAATCATATCGAAATAATTTTTCTTTGTATCGATAATGTTTATTACAGCGTCAAGGAATTTTTGCAATAATTATTGTACAAAAAGATCTGAATTAATTTAAATTCCTATTAAATACTTATAATTTAATTTAATCATGAGACGACCAATTTTTGTATGCCTTTGTTTATTTTTTTATTTTTTTCATTTTTTTTTCATTTATTTGTGGCAACAAACAGTCATACATGAAATAGTAATTATTTACATATATTCCTATTAAAATAGACCTATAGTGCCAGCAGATTATAAATAGATTATAATAAGAACGGCTGTAACATATCTTATAGAGTTATTTGTAATGATAACATTCTTGTTTTATGCGTTACTAGAGTTTTACATTAATATCATTAATTAATCTTTCTAAATTAAGTGAGCATGAGTAACAAAGTATAATATCATTGAATAAATATATAAGACAGAGTTTAACAAGCTATTACAAAATCATTAAATGTCATTTAACATTTTCAAACATATTGTACCAACCTAACCTTTGTTATCGATCCCTGTTTCTTAAAGTGTTTATTTCATAGTAGGACAAGACACCAATAATAAAGTTTCCCAATTGCTAGCTTTTTTTCTTTAAATAGGGTATAATGGTAATTTGTAATGTTATAATTTGAACGTATTCATTGTTTATATTTTCGGTAACACTCACTTGAATTCTGAAAGCTACTCCGTATGGAAGAAGATAAACATTTGTTTTATACATATCGACGGCCTTATCGAATAAACGTGCATTTTCAAAACACCTCCTTTACAGGAAAAATTAAATAGAGAATAAATAGTTCAATAGTAGGTATCCAAAAAAATGTATTACGAAAACGATGGATGTAAATTAACCTTTGTTTACCTTAATTAAAACATTTGAGTTACATTAAAATAGATTATTTATTTTTTGCGTGAAAACAATTTAGGAGGTTTATTATAGGTATACATTAATTACATATTGATAAAAAATATTACAACATTTTATTAAAAAAACTGACCTCAAAATTTTGTGTAATTATATCATACTTTGGCAAATAGATGTAATTCGACAAAGTGTTGAGGCCTTCTTTTTACAAAAAAATCAAAGATTATATGTATAGTGAAACATAATGTTTACCCATACCACAGTACTATTTACTTAAGGAATGTGACGATGCGACCTCCTTCCATCGTCATTCCGCCTTTTTATCACCTTTTCTCTGGTTCCTGGCCGCTTGTTTTCAAACTTTGAATAGTTCTTTAATTCCGTTGACCGTCATACTCACTTTGTTATCCTTCCATCGTCACTCTCTGCTCAATCGCTGAAGCGAGCAGTGCTGCTTCTTTTATTTAATTACTATAAACTGCTGTAATTACTTACACGGGCGAAATTAATTTGAAACCACTTACTTAGGTCACATTAAGCAAGCAATTTACTTAGGCCACAAGTAATTTACTGAGGTCACATTTAACTATTGCGATAACTTCAGCATGATCTAAGACGCCCAAATATGGGTATTTCTTAACAGTAAGTACACTAGAGGTGATATTGATACAGTGAAATAATTATGGAATTTGGACAATAACTACATATTTTGTTAGAATATTTTATTTGTATTGATTTTTTTTTACTACCATAGTCTACTATTGATGCAAAGATTAAATAAATATAAAGAAAAATTCCGTCGATTCAGAACCTGCGCGTGTCGCCTCAATGTGGTTACAGCACTGTCATCCATGCTGCGGATCAAAGTAGCAGAGCTAAGGCTGGTTTCAAAGCTGTGCGTTCGGTCCTTACGGACTGTCCTTACGGACTGTCCTTACGGACTGTCCTTACGGACTGTCCTTACGCTGAATCGTGTATTTAATTTCCTGCAGATAAACCCGCACTGTTCTGAAGCCAACCTTACTAATTTTCTCAATATGGTCGTTGCGCATCTTTGTCTTTGTACATATATTGTTGTTTGTTCGAGCTATTTTGTCATTTTCGGGGAAGAGTTTGGTTCGGCAAAACATCGAGATGTTTATTTCCTTTGATAATTATCCGATTATTATTCATGCTGATTCATAGTTTTTTCTCTTTAATTTTCGTTTTTAACAAACAGTGAGAAAACAAAACAATCACGAAGAAAAGTCTTGAGGAAAACGATTTGGTTTGGATCAAACAGTCGTGATAATTGATATTTGACATGTGACAAAACGTCTGTTTTTTATATCAAGTGACGGAACGAGCGAGTCGCGTGCCTTGTTGTAAGCTACATGCCTGTCCGTAACAGTTGCAGTGCCACTTAGAGCTTCAAATCGCAAAGACCAGCACTCTTACCCTTCAAAACAGAAATGGGGAAGGCAGTGATTCCCTGGATGAAGTCTTTCACAAGGAGCACCAGCATGGCATAGCATTTTGTTTGTTTAATTTATTTTATAAATGTCATGATAATTATTATTATTAACGTGATAATTTGATATTAATTAAATTATATATAATAAAAAAATATTGATGATAATTATTACCAATGATTAACACTTCGAACACTATTTTAGGTTATTGGCAAAAAGTTTCAAATGGATAAATGTCTTTCTTTTTTGTTCCCAGGGTCACTCTGAATCGAAGGGTGCGAAGAAGCGGGAGAAGAGTGTCGGCGGGGGCGGAGGCGGAGGGGGGAACGGGAACAAACCAAGCCGGGGGGTGGCCACGTCGTTCGGGTTTCGTCGTCGGCCCGCCAGCTCGTCGCGCGCGGACGACAACGCGCGCCGCAAGAAGGCTCATGACAAAAACGGCAATGGCGGTGAGAACGAGTTTTTATTTAGAAACTATTAGTTGAATTGATAGATAAAACATTTATTTGGATCTACACATACACATACATAACAGAAATTACATACATTTATTTTATAACTTTGATCGACATTAGGAGTGGACTAGAAGAGCTCATTTTAAGTCGGGTGCTTGGTGTTAGTAAGTAAATTACTAACGATCGATATTGCCTTTACTAAAACTACCATGAATCCTATGCATATTTTAATTATCGTGTCGTTTAAACAGCAGTTTAGTCTTCAAATTAAATGTAATATTAATACTCAATATTCAATATATTTATTGCATTCATATGGTACATACATGTCTTAAATTTAAAAAAAATTTAAAGCCCTTTATTAGGGATAACAATAAAAGCAGAGATTGACCGAGGTTTCAATTATTAATTAGAATTGTTATTTATCCTATATATAAAATAAAAAATATGTCATATAATAAGAAATATGTCATAAAATAAGCAGAATTATGTCACTTGAAAGTTTGAATTTAATTACAATAGCGTAACTTTATAGTATATAATTAAGATTTATTTATCATCAAAGTATTCATTTACATTGTAATAGCATTTATTAATACGATGTAATTTTAATTTATTTAGAAACAGTGAATACTTTTGGTCGTTTTTAATAATGGGCGGGAGATCATTGAATATCCACACCGACAACGAGTGGGGCCTTGAACTGTGTATGTGTAGCTGAGATCGTGGCAGAAGCAATCTATTGCGTGGTCTAAGAGTGTGTCGTTGGGGCAGGTCGTCAATGTCTCCCTGGGGTCAGGGGAGCCATAAAGATTTCCCCCCCGTCAAAAAAAAAAGGTCGTCAATGTTAATATAAAAGTCAGGGTGTTGTTTAATAAATTTACAAATTTCTAAAATATATATAGAACACAAAGTCAAAATTTTAAATTGTTTAAAGTGTGGTCTGCAGCTATCAGTACTCCTCAAATTACCAAGAATATGGATGCATCTTTCATCATTCTTCACTAGTGTCACAGTACATTTATGAAAATTTACGCTACGCTACCCATTGAAGAGCAGAATACCAAAAAATTGCAATGGCAGTTGAATAATAGCTCCATAGCCACTAACTTACTATTCTTAACTTTTAGCAGAATACCAAACGCACAAAATGCTGCCACTGACACTGCACCAACACACAACTGAGATGATTTAAAATTGGTGGACTTGGGGTCCTGCAGAGTTACGTACTTCTGTACCCGTACTAATAAGAACGCAATATTAAATCTCATAGTTTTTCGTGACATATTTTTCATTATTTAAATCGACTTTGTAATGATTTTCAATGTTTTTTACACTTCAACTTGTATTTTAGCAGTGTAGATGCTGTAAATAAACTAATCAACTTAAATAAATAAATAACGCACACACTCAACATAGCCCCGCACTAGGAAAACCCTGTGTCGCGGGTGCCATGAACACACAAATACACAACCACAAATGACACCCAAACTCACGAGATAGATTCAGATTAATTTATTTCTCAAATATAACGTTACAGTATTAATTGCACTACATGTCAAAGTATAAGAAATTATATTGAGATCGTCAGACAAAAGTGAAAATTATAAGAAAATACACAATAAATAGAAAATTAACAATTCATTATATAATATTGTTGTCATTAAATTACATATCAAATATCATTATCCATCAAGGATCGTCATAAGTTGATAACAATTATACAAGAATATGTTAATGCGGTAAAAATTAGAATAAAAATGTAGGCCATACAAATATTTTTCCCGGCCCGAGAATCCAACCTGGGGCCTCTGCGTGGCAGTCCTGCATGGTAACCGTTCGGCCACGCAGGCAGTTAAAGAATGTAACATTTAGAGACGACGAACACTTAAAAATTCCTTCGATGCGGCTGGATTCGATCCAACGTCTTCCAGCAAAGTGACATTCAATAAATTTAAAAAAATACAATTATTATAGCGACATCTCTAGTCAGCTGCTGGTAGCTGTAAACGTACCTGGCTGATTAAAGAAATAGATTTCTCACAGAGGCGCTACGGCAAAAAAGTGGTTAAAAACAAAGATCAGCAACAAGCACATAGAAAAATTCGTAAGATCGAGTGATTTTTTTCTAAGTGTTCGATCTTTGTTAATAATACATAAAATAATTTAAATCAAGTATCGGAAAACGTGTTAAGTCTCCATCCCGCATTATGATGATGAATAGGATATAAGACAATAATGCAGTTCATTATATTGAAATATAGTTAGCTATATTTATTTAGAAGTATTAGTACTTCTAGAAAAACTGATACTTCATTAGAATTAAACAAATTTTCACCATGTCGAATTTACGCCAGACAAATTCATCGGCGGCGTCGCCGTGGAAAACTTGTTGCTGGTGTATGGCGACGACACGGCGGCGGGGCGCATATATCTAGATTTCACCAAAGCTTCAAAGGCTTTCCGCTTCATAAAACCTTAGCAACGTTATCGAAGGCGGCAAGAATGTTGCATCTAAGTTAACATAAATAATTACCTATCGTAACTGTCGCGTCAAATATCATCGATCGTCATACAAAGCATCGGCATAATCGGTTTTGCATTACTCATCCATTTAGAATTTATGTTAATAGTTTGTTTCATTTATTATTAAGGTTCCACGGAGGACTTACGACAGGAAGAAGTACTGTCGGGCCGGTCGACTCCTCTCGCGCGGCCTCGCAAGGAGACAGGAGGACAACCACTTAGATCCAATAGGTAATTAACGTAATATGTTGCGTGATTTACGTAACGTAATGGTTTGTTCTTGAAAAAGGAAATTAAAAGGGAAAAAGGAAGTACAAAGCATTGGCTGGAAATAATTTTCAAGCGGAAAGTCAGTCGTATTGACGCAAGCGCCTGTGTAAGTAGCATTTATTTGTAGTGTAAGTTTGCTATTACAATTTTAGTAGGCGTCTCAATATAAAGGCAATGCGAAAAGGGAGTACTAGTTTATTTACTTGGTTCTCCAACAATGAGTACAATATACATTACGATAAGATATACAAAACGTTTAAATACTATTGCCGTATTACTTTGAGGAGAACACCGCATGCATACAATATTCTGTTTATTTTTTAACATAGGTACTTATTAAGAAAGAAAAGAAAATCTGTAATTATTAGTGCAATACAAGTCTTTTAAGTAAATTCACAGATATAGTTGCCAAATCAGCTGAATTGCAGGTAATATTGCATTTAATACATCCGAGAGAGTGGACAGTGCAATCTGAGATTAGTAAGTACGATGTTTTGGAGTGCATAATAAATTCCTATTATGATTTCTTTGTAGTCGAATTGGAGCGCTGAACCGAAATTTACTTAGTAAATCTGGACAATTAAATACGCCAGTGACCAATTTCTTCAAAAAAACTAAATCGTGTATTTTGCGTCTTGTTTCAAGTGCAGTAAACTTAAAATGATTTAAACGTTCTATAAATGAGTTGAGTTTACCGACTAGTTATAAAAAATGACAGGAGCTGTTTGATTGTAGGTTCGGTTTCAGGCAGCCGCACAGCAAGACGGCGAAGGTGGGCGATGTGAGCATCAACGCCGAACAAGCTTTCGGTTTCAACGACAAGGAGTCTGCCATTAATAACAACGCTAAAGGTAAATATGAATCGATTCTGTATTTTTCAAAAGGAAATAATTATATTCATTTCAAATTAATAAAAAAAAACACTTTTAACACACAAATCGTTAAGTAAGTGCTTGCAACTGCGGTAATTCTAATGTACTGTTAATATATTTTTATTTTATAATAATAACATTTTAACATTAGCGTGTGCTCAACTTAGCCCCGCACTTTAAGGAAACCCTGTGTCGCGGGTGCCATGGACACACACTTAGACAACCAGAAATTATGCCCTAACTCACTTAGAGAATCGCTGTGGACAGATAAACCCTTAGTGGTTTTTGAGCTACAGCTGCTTGTAATATGTTTAAGTTTTTGTAAAAGTATTAAATATTATTTAAAAAAAAAAAAAAAACTTGAGAAATAAATGTAGGCCTCATTGAAGTACAATCAAAGTCAATGAGGCCATACAAATATTTCTCCCGGCCCGTGAATCGGAACTGGAACCTCTGCGTGGCAGTCCGGCTTGGTAACCGTTCGGCCACGGAGGCAGTTAATTACATCGGTTGTATAGTACATGGTCGTACCTATTGAAGTACTAATTAGGTAGATAATTAAGTGTGACCTTAACCTATTACAAGCAGGCACAAGTACGAACGAGTAATAATTATAAATAGAGACAAAAAAATAGACTATTTATTATTATAGAATATTTATAAACTATTTTTCCGGATATAAATCCCGTATATTTGTTTTCTCAAAAAAACCAACGTTTCGGAAATCCGGAAAAATAGTTTCAGTTCCTATTTTCGCATTTATTTACTCTTTATTTATTTAGGGGTTTTGATCGTTATTGAGCATATCAATCAAAGAAAAACAATATCGCAAGAAAACACTGAATAAAATCCAGACAGATAAATCAAAATTCTCCGACCAAACATGTACCTATACAAAATCTTCGCGGCACTACATGTTGGCTCCGACAAAATGGTTCACTTTTTTTAATAAAAAACGAAAAAAACCTCATTTTTGGTACAAATGGTACACTACAAAATGAAAAATATGTTTATTGTACGAAATTCCATTTTTAATGTAGTATTAAACTTTTAAATGTTTAAATTATTGCATACATCAAAGTGAATTCGTTCTTTTCTTCAGCGCAACGCGTGGTTTTTAATTCTGTTTTAAAAATATTAGAAGAATTAAAAAAAATGTTGTAAAAAGCCTAAAAAGCGAGAAAACAAACACATTGAGCATGAATTAAATTTATCTCAGATGTTTTTAATTCAAAATACTTATTATTATAATGAGTTCGGATGAGATGGAGATCGGTGACACATCGCTTGATTTCAAGGCAGAGGCTCCCTTGGCTAAGGAAACGTGCTTCTCGCTAAATGAAATGAAAAATATAATAGAATTTACAGCTGATTTATCTTGTAGAAGGCAAACAAAAAGCTATCTACATTCTGAACAGTTTATTCTATGCTCGAATATACACATATGTCAATATAAAATATTACATAAATTTAATATTAATTGATAAATTTTGTAACAATATTTGCCTTATTTGGGAATTAAATTGACATACTATATTACTTTAAAGGAATTAATCATTGTAAATGGTCCTTTCAATCTTTATGATAAAAATACAAAATACATTTTTTTTACAATTGGTTACTTCGATTCCCAAATGAGGCAATTAACTTTTAAGTCTTTGAATGCAGAATTACTTAAGTACTTTTAAAAATAAAATAATCTCCCCATGAAGTAAAATGTCCTATGTACAATATTTAAAGTAGTTTCCCTTCATGCCCCATGGCCGTGGAACGCCCATGCGCATGGAAATACAGTAAGGGCGCGTCCCTACTATGTCGTGGCGACAGATAGTCGTGCAGTTTACAGTGTCGTGGTTTGTATATTTAAATGAATTTGTTCACATATAACTACACGATTAACTGTCGTTCACGATTTTTTTGTCGTTACGACAACAGAGTGTCGTGATAATGGGAAGAGTTAAAACAACAGTCGTCTGACGACAAATAAAACATCACCACAGATAGTCTATCTATCGATACCTACCTCTATCTATCTATCTATCGATACGTCACCACAGAAAGTCGCAGCTACTATTGTCGTCACGATTTATTTATCGTTGTCTGCACGTGTTCTCCTCCCCACTCCCCTCTCGTACCCCGCGCCCTCGGCTTTGGGCTAGCGTTGGATCGTAGCCAGAGATGGGCCCGGGTTTTTACCCGGCGCTTTGTTAACGCCGGGTTTAAATCGGAATAAACCCATTAATGCCCGAAATCGAGGGCAAAAACCATTTACTACTAAATATTTGTTGTGAATTGAGTTTTGTTCAAATTTAATTATACATATTATTACAAAATATGAAATTCTTAAATAGTCCCAAAATTTTCTCTCATCACTTTTAAATTTATCTATAAATATTTGACATAATCCTAATGGAATTCTATTAAATAACATTGGATGTACCCAAAATTTTCATTTCTTCGGTTGCTTCCTCTTCCGCCATTTTAAAACGCAATACATTATTATAATTTCGTCTTCATCCATTTCACACGGCAGCGAAAACACTAATACTGGCTTCCAAAAAAACATAGAAGCAACTGCAGTGCATCAAACGACCCTGTCGTGCAAACGACAAGGCGGCTGCCGTGAAACGATAAATAGTGATAGCAGGCTAGACGCAACAGTAGTCCAACGATAAATAAAACGTTACGACATAATTGGAACGCGCCCTAATGCATACTCGCCCATCCCTTACTTGCCGGCCACTGGAATAATATACTATTGAATTCACTCACAGATAAGAAAAGTACAACAAATCAGCAGTACAACAACCAACTTCCCCTTCTATCCACACAAGTCTCGTCTACGGGTCAAACCACAATCGTGGGAGCAGCTGGCCTGCCCAAATCTGTCACCAAGCAGACTGTCATCCTCACTTACCAGCCGCAACAGTTCTCCGCACAAGTACGTAGAGCTGAGTGATTTTATAGTGTGCATGGTTAAGGTATATTCTGATTGATACATTAAATTCAGAGCAACGTGACCCGGTCGTCTGCCACCGTGTCGAGGCTTAACCGTAAACCGTTGTAAATACAATTCTTTAGATCAATAATAGATGGCAGCACATCAAACTCCACATTGACGGATTCTGTTTCGATATTTTAACAAAAATGTATAGTTTGAGGTGCTGTTACCAGTGTACTAGATGCAGTAGTTTTTTCGTATACCTTTACAGAAATACGCTAATAAAAAATTCTACACACAAGAAATACGTTTTTCTTTTTAAAATTGATGACCCTAGTTAAGAACTAAGCTATTCTGATGCACCTCCCGCTTTTTCTCATTTCTCACCGCACTTGGAATGCAGGTTGTATGTCAATCATAATTATGAAGTGTCGCTCGGAATTTTAGAAAAATAAACTCTTTTATTGTAACAGTATTATTCCTAACTTTAAGAAGTGTATCAACTGTTGTTATATTTGTCATTAACGAATAATTATGTACTTATATTTTTAACCGACTTCAAAAAGGAGGAGGTTCCCAATTGGACTGTTTTTTATGTATAATTCACGATTACTACGACAATTTTATTGTGAACCGTTTTCGATGATCCTTTTTTGTTGGAAAGGTGGTACTTCAGTAATGGTCCCATTAAAGTAAATATTGAAGTAAATATTTCACCTCTGAAGGTGGCAAATTAGCGGATGAATCTGGTTTATTGGATTTCACCTACTTTCCGTAAACCGATTTCAATAAAACTTGATAAATAGATAATTCGTAAATTAATTAAGTAAATGGTAACTCCAAACTTTTGATGTCGGCTTTTTTAATATAAAGTTATAATTATTTAGATATCTAATTTCGATAGAATGCTCCGTCCTATCATTCTTTCTATAATTTGTGAATTTGAAAAACACAGGTAGTAATGTTTTATATTAAAAACTAGTGTTCGGAACAGCGTGGTAGATAGTCTTCGAATGAAGACAAATTAAAAAAATAAAAGTAATAAATGTTTTGTATTTGTTCTAAAAAGGAATGTCGTCAGCGACCACCGCGTGGCGAGCAAGTTCGCGCATCTTCCGTCACCAGGGCGCAGTGTATAGGGGAGAAGCCCCCCGGGAAGTACACCTTCCAGACCAATCAACTGCCGCGTCCGCAGTACCCAACTGTCAAGAACATTGACACAAAAACCGCTAAGCAGGTACGATTACAATGTAGCACGAGGGAAAGAAATTAGGGGCCTCGGGCTTTGTGCAAAACAGAGTCAGCGGTTACAGAGTGATAGACACACAGGACTTAAATTTAATAATGAAATAAAATATACTCTCGGACACATAATTCGAGCCAATTCGCGTTATTGTCGCAAAGGGCTAGAATACAAAAATCGTGTTAACGTCTAAGAAAAAGTTTTCCCCCGGTTTTGCAAATCCAAATTCTTAACAAGGACTTATGGAAAAAACGTTTAGTATACTAGTTTCAAATTTGCGTAATAGATTTGATCAATCAAACATTGTAAGCTTATAGCACTTAATACTGAAAATGCGTGGTGGCCCGAATGATGTGTATTAATTGGAAGCATTGATTTACAAATAAATGGACGACGGGTCTAATACAAAAACCACGAAAAAAATGTCCCAAGTCAACCTATTTAAACGTAGTGACATGTAAAGGAATATGAAAAAGCTAAAACGTTGAATTTAAATTGTAATGTCATCGCAGTACAGTCTAATTTTGTTTGCTTCGCTGTCAGTCGAACAAACGAAGACTAAAGCGTGAATAACGCTCTGTATACGATTTTAACGCCCTATAAGTTCGGACACTTTTTAGCGCGAACCCGACGTCCATATAATTGTAAGTCAATGATTGGAAGAGTATTATTTAAACGATATAGATTTAGAATTACTTATGACACTAGCAAAAATAAATTAATTGGTTAATATTACCTACTGAATTACTGATGAGTAATTTTCCGAAAAGTTTGAAATAGTCAACAGACAACGGTCGAAAATTACCTACTACTACTATATACAGCAAGGCGCTATCTGCACACGCGCAAATGTGTGCGTGAAGTGGTAGGGTTACCAATCACTTGCTCGTACTATTTATTACTGCTATCTATAACCAAACTGTTATCTATAATTCAATTATAGAATCCTAATAATTACACATGTTCATTGCGTATTTATTTCGATTTAATATTATATTTTTCATTAATTCACTAAACTGGAATAATATTGAAGATTTATTTTAAAAATTAAAAGCACGTAAAATGTTATATTTTGGACAGGTACTTTTAAATAAGGTAACCAAAGAAATTTGAAATTGCGTGTCCAAGCGTATCATTACCTCGTTAATAATTAGGTATATTCACTACGTAATATTTTATCGGCAATACAAATTGAAAATTCGTAAACCCTTCTCTAGCGCACGAAGTTATGGCGTCTTATTATATTGATATAATAAATCTGTATTATATATTACTCTGCACTAAAGAAAACAATAAGTGAATGAATCTCAGACATAAGTTTTTTTTACTTACTTCGTTTCATCTTTCAAAAAACGAAAGAAACCCTCTCTTTATCCCGTTTAGATGTTTATAAACAGCCGTACATAGCACAATTTACGACCATTATAAATAGTAACGTAAAATGATGTTATATATTAACGTACAAATTTCGTAATGAAAAATTAAAACTATATTCAAATATCAAAGCCGTCTTAGAGCGAAAACGGCTCGCCGACAGCCTTGTTCTCGTTCAGTCAATACGACCGTCAATGTGCGGGGCGTGGTGCGGTATATAAAGGTAGGGAGAGGCGGAGAGTGTCCGTTCTCATTACTTGTTTGTTCTCTGCCTATACTGACTACACATGTATACACATCTAAGCACATCTATTATATCAGTTTGATGAGTATCAAACTACGAAATACCCGACGTGTTTGATACTCCCTTCTTAGTCACATGCATCAAACGCCTCGAAAAAATTAATGTGACCAATTGTTATTAAAATAGAGTCTAATTTCAAACGAACGTCTCCAAATATAAAACACTCTACTAAAAGCACATAAAGAACAGATAAAACAAAGTGATTTACTACCATAAAAACCACAGACGGCTACAAAAGACATGTTAATATTCATATTCAGCTTCCTAATGATTCCGTCACAACTATAAAGCTACTTTAGCTGTTACGTCAACATTATTAAAACTCTCGCGTTAAAATGATCTATTCTAACAACCAACTGAAGAGAGTCAGTGAAATTGGAACTTTAAAATGTTGGTGGAAGTACAGTTTTTACTTCCAGCAGGAAATGGGTCAGATCTATTTGTGAGCTGCGGATTCGGTTACTAGTGGCCGTGTGCTGAAAATATCACTGCTGCATCGTGCAGTTTCCTATTTCCTGGGATCACATGAGATTATAACTTAAGATTTAAATTAATCATCTTATACATAGGTAATGAAACCATTTTTCCGGGTTTAAATCGCATATATTTTTGTTTTTTCAAACAGACCAACGTTTCGGGCCCTTTACAGGTCCTATGGTCACGGTTGGTCATACACGATTTAGATCCATAAAAATAGTTTAATTTCCTATGTGTAACAATCGCGAAAACCTAAAAACTCGATAATCGTCTTATATTTGATCCGCAAAAGATTAGCCACGAAGCTCTATCAAAAGTTGTAGACTAAAATGTATCCGTAATTATTTTACTCGTACATATAACATTGAATCAGATTTAATTTTTTTTTATGATATCAAGTGATGGGCCGAACAAGACGTGCGCCTAGTGGTAAGCGACACACCTGTCCATAGTACTGCTGTGCCACTCAGAGCTTTAACTCGCAAAGATCTGACGAGCACTGCCACTGCGGCCGTCACCGACATAAGTTGACAAGTCCCATTTGTCGAGTTCTTAGGTTTTCGCGATTGTGGGAATATATAGGAAATGAAACTATTTTCCCGGATTTAAATCGCGTATAACTATTTGTTTTTTCAAACAAATCGACGTTTCGAGCCCTATACAAGTCCCATGGTCGCGGTTGACTGAGGTGGAACAGTCATCAACCAGTTATGTCTAATATTAATGCAAACCACCTTATTTTTTACTATAGTTACAAAAGTTATCAATTAAATACCTTATTTCTGATTTTATGAAGAAAACATTCCTATTTACGCTATATTACGTTTTACAAATTATTTTATTGAATGAATTTTTATTAATCAATTTATTAAAATTAATAATAGAAATTAGAATAAATTATTAATTAGTACTGCAGTCTTATGTCTGTTTGGGATTTTTCATCAGAGAAAATACTGGATCCCAAACTGGTGGTACGGAGAAACCATCTTCTCTGTTGAAATTAGGATGTTTTTTTAATTTCAATAGCCTCTTGCAGCATCCTGGGTAGATAACGGACTTCTTTTGCAAGGACCTGGGGTTTGTCAAACTTCATTGAATGTGTAGGTTTATCCATGACATGCTCGCAGAATAAGTCTACAGTCTGCGAACATGACATGTGCTTTGTTTCTTTAAAAGTAATTAAAATTGAATCGAAGCGAAAATTTAAAATCTGCATTGCGGCCTTATCATGTCGCCGTCGATACTGTATCGCGTTTGTTTCGATACCATTATCGCGTTTGTATCGCGATCGTATTATTGCAGCTTCCGTCTCTATAGACGATTAGCAACTGTATCGCTGCTCCATCTCGACCATGGACCAATAACCCAAGAGGACTGCTAATCTCCATATTAAAAATCGTAGCTCTGAAAAAGGTCAAAATTCCGTCTTATTTCTAGATGGCGCTGATCGATAGCCTGGAATTAGTTTATATTTACGTAAATGGCCATGGATATCGATTAACTCCTCTTTTATAGGAAATATAGTAGATATTCTATTTTTCTTGTAATGTTTTTCAAATATTTAGTAATAAACCAAAATTATTCTCTGAACTTCGATATTTATGCGTATCAATAGATGGCATTGTTCGTTGTTAACTAATTAATAACGTAACGCTTGCGAATATAGTTAGATGGCGCAAATCCTAAACAAAATAAAAGAATACTTGGAAGTATCTATAAAAATCTGAGCAATATAGTATAACCTAAAGGAAGTCTAAATTGTCATCCGTTTGCGGTGGCGCACAGTGGGCCCAAATTGATAATTCTTGGACATAGGAATAACTTGTGGAGTATCGAGCTAATTTTTTTATGTGATAGACAATAACACTCCTAACAACTTTTATTCTTGTATGATTTCTTGAAAAGTTGATAGTTTCAGAGAAAAAAATATAATTTTTTTTTGTGGAGAAATATACATTTTGTTCTTTATCTCAAAATATACGAAAATGTAGTGTGCGTGGGTTACTTACAGTATAGTTCCAATCATTTTCTATGTAGAAAAAAATAATCCGTCTGCATGTACTTGCGGCTTTGTAAGTAGAGGTGCGGCAAAATTGCTAACTCTTTTATGTACTTTTTTAACAAAATACATGAGCTTCGACTAAAGAAAATTTAATTTTAGTGCTAAATTACACAAAGCGTTATAACAATAACATGAAAGTTAAGTAGAAACTAGTATATTGTGTTTTATTTTTTAATAAATAACAAATCTAACATTTTGACATCTTTTTACTCGTAAAGCCGCAAGTACCTGCTGATGGATTGTTTTTTTCTTGATAGAGAATGATTGGACTTATACTGTAAATAAAGCACACATTACATTTTTCTACAATTCGAGATAAAAAAATAAAATGTTTATTTCTCCAAACAAAAAAAAAACTAAAATTTTTTCTGAAACAATCAGCTTTCCAAGAAATTACATAACAATAAAAGTTATCAGGAATGTTATTATGTATCATGTGAAAAAAATCAGCTCTGTATTCCTAAAATTGTATCATGATTAAATAATTATTTAGCCTAAAATTTATACTTTTTATTTCCGTTATTTTTAATTACCTTCAGATTAATTTATACTGGGTTGTTGGACTTTATGCACTGTTTGTAATGGATGACATATTACACACAGATTACACGAAGCTCATGTATTTTGTTAAAAAAGTACATAAAAGAGGTAGCAATTTTGCCGCACCTTTATTTACAAAGCCGCAAGTACATGCAG